GAAACCCGCTTTATTTCTGCTAAGTCATTCAATAGTTTTTGGGGTGATTTAAAACAGGAGGTTGTGTTGCCATTAAATAAAATAATTATTGTGGTTCACAATACTCATTAACTCTTTCAGTAGCAAAAATAATTCCTCCCCCCAAACAAATATTATCACAATAAAAGACGGCATACTGTCCGGGAGTAATGGCTCTTTGTTTTTCTTCAAACTCTACTTTTAATTCCTCAAATTCCTTAATTGGAAAAATTTTTACCGAAACTTCCGGTTGCCGATAACGAAATTTTGCCGTTATTTTTTGACTATGCAAACATTCTTTTAATTTTTCTTCTTTAACTAATCAATTAACATTCTTTGCTGTACAAAAGTTATTGTACAATCAATCATTATCTCAACCACTAGCCACATAAACTATATTTTTTTCCACACTTTTCCCCACTACATAGTGAGGTTCTTTTTGTCCTTGCAATCCTAAACTGCGCCGTTGTCCAATTGTGAAATAGGGAATTCCCGAATGTTTGCCAAGCACCTTTTTGCTGTTAACATCTATTATTTTTCCTTCTTTTTTGGGAAAATAATTAGCCAAAAAACTTTCAAACTTGCGCTCACCAATGAAACAAATGCCGGTTGAATCCTTTTTTTTAGCGTTAATTAATCCTACTTCTTCGGCCATTTGGCGCACCTCTTTTTTAGTTAAATTAGCCAGAGGGAAAATTATTTTGCTCAGTAAATTACGATTGATTTGACAAAGAAAATAAGTCTGGTCTTTGTTATTATCCGCAGGCTTGCTTAAATAATAATCTCCATTTTCATGAACTATTTTGGCATAATGGCCAGTAGCAATAAAATCAACTGCAAAATTTTTCTTGACATATTCAGTAAAATAATGAAATTTAATGGCACTATTACATAAAATGTCAGGATTAGGAGTAATTCCTTTTTTTAGTTCTTGGAGAAAATTGGCAAATACTTCATCTCAATATTCCTGAATAAAATCAACTTTATAAATCGGAATATCTAATTGGCGAGCAACTCCTTGGGCGTCATTTCAATCTTGGGCTTGCGAACAAACGTTTACTGACTGTCCACCCAAATAATCATCTCAATTTTGCATAAAAATAGCAATTACTTCATAACCTTCTTTTTTCAGGAGATAGGCTGCTACTGCGGAGTCCACCCCGCCACTTAGAGCCACAATAACTTTTCCGTTACTCATTAGTTTAATTTTAAAAATTATATAATGTTTAAGTAGGAAAAATATATCTCTTTTTCTTGCAATTTACCCTGAGCGGAAAAGGCACAAATAGACTTTTCGCAAGCACCTATTCAGAGATTAGGAGTGACCAAAACTATCTTTTTTTGATAAAGATTAGTTTGCTTTTTAAAGGAAATATTTCAGGATGTACGAGAAATTCCTTTTTGTGGTATCAAGGAACCAGATTGTTTGCTATTGCTTAACTTTTGGGGCAAATTAGTACCGGACAATGAGAAAAGCGACTACCTCTTATTCGTCAATTTTCTTTACTGAAAAAAGCAGATGAAGTCATTTATGTTCAGTGTGTAATTTGAGAAGTTGCGGCTTGAACTAATCCCAAAACCGAACAAGTTTTTATTATTAACTTTGACCTACAAACAAATTACTGAAAGTCTAGAGTTAATGTTAACAGATTTGAAAAAGTCTAAAGATAATTTAAATATTTTTGACGAGAAAACTTGAGCAGAAATTCTCAGCAATTCCGATTCTAGGATTTTAACTTTGGAAAATGTCTTAGTTCGTGCTAATTTGACAGCAGTAGTAGTAAAAGTAGAAAAAAGTAGAGAAATTGATTGTGATGGTATCACTGAAACTGAAGAAGAGATAATGAAAGACATTGCTCGTTCTTGGTTCACTAATATTGTTGATAGTGTTAACGAAGAGGTTGGCGATTATGACAGCAGCAATAATCGAATAAAAGGAAACAACTATCATCAACGAGGGCATTATTTTATTTTCTACGAGGATGGCAGTAAGGAACATTGAATGGCTCTATACCCAAAGTTTAATGATAGCGAGTTAGCTAATGGACATGCTCACCAAGCCTTTATTTTAGAATTTAATAAACCAGTAAGTAAATTTGTGGATGTCTATACTTGCATCGGTTGTGGAGCAAAAGAACAAGGCTATACAGAGTTGCACGAACATTATGATATTGACGAAAATAATACTTCTGATAGTTGAGAAACAATTCATAAAGATCGTCCTTTTGAACCTTGATTTACTGAATTTTCTGCCGCCACTCTTAAAGATTTACAAACAAGCAATAAATCTCAGAGTGGAGAAGAAGTTCCAGTCTCAATGCAAAAATATTGAGTTTGTTCAAATGGAAAACTTTTAGGTAGTGAGATTGATGTTTGACAAGGACAAGAAATCAAGGACTCAGGAGGAAAAACTTTTGATAGGGCCTATGGTTTCATTCCTAATGATGGGACTATTCAGTGAAAATTGGAAATAAGTCAACAAAGAATTGAAGAAAACAAGAAATTGGCAATAGATAAAGTTAACGATCATATTAAATCTTTATTAGAAAACAAGGAATTTACTGGTTACAAAGATAAGTGTCACTGCCGACAAATAATGATGAATTTGTTTGTTCGAAACTGTCTAAAGGAGGAAGATTATGTACTAACATTTAAATATTCAGGAGGTGAAGAAATCTTAAAAATTAATGACTTATTAACAAGAGTAAGCGACAATTTTAAAGAATTAATTAGTGCTAAAAAAGTTTCTCACCAGTCTTTAGAAAAATGAATAAAGCAAGGCTTAGCCAATTCTGATGAAATAGAGAAGTTAAAAATGATAATGAATTTGTTACTCTAAAAGATAAACCACAAGTTATTAAAGAGATATGAATTCAGCAAGTAAACAAATTTAGCGAAGAAAATAAAGCAAAAGAGTTTTATTTAGAACAACACAAAGAAGGACTTACCTTAAATAGAGCAATAATGAACATTAACTGACTTTACAGAGAAGTCCTTAATAACCTTGGTGAAAATCAAGAACTTCAAGCTCAGATAGAGGTTCCTCCTAAAAATTAATGACAAAAGAGGAAGGGGAATTTTCCCCTCTTTTCTCACGTTAGAAAATTAGTTACATTAATAAATAAAAAATAGAAATTAAAAATATAAATAAATTACAAAAACATATATCATTATGGCTTTAATAACATTAACAAAAAATATAAGAATTAATCAAACATTTAAAAATATTTCAGAAAGCAGTTTCAGTAAAATCATCTTTTATGATACTAATTATTTAAGTAGAAGTGGTTATCTGCTTGGGGAGATTATAATGAAAACATTATTAACTAATCCCAAATTAGTTTTGCCAATGTTAGGCAGAGGCAATACCTGAGTATTTGCTAGCAAAGAAGCACTTGATGATACAAAAAAAATTGTTGGCGATTGAAATTATTCCGCCATAAGTTTAAGCCAATTGGGTGATATTGGTACTGCTTACGACTTTACGAAATGAGGTACTATACCAGCTAATATTATGCAATTTTTTTGTCATAGCAGAAATAAATTTGCTTACACTTGTATTAATACAAAACTAGGTAGTACTATTAATACAATGCAATTAGATAATCAACTTTTTACTTTTATTAGATCTGATGATGGAACTAGGCTTAAAAGAGCCAAAATAAAAAATCTCGAAGCGTTTAAATTTTTACAAAAATATGCTGGTGATTACGCGTTCGATATCGCTTATCCTCAAGGAGAAAGTTTTGATGATAGCGAACCAGCCATTGCGGCAGTCATTGCGTCTAACCCAGGTGCTTGACTACCTACAAATACAAATCCAAGCTGATCCCAACCAGTATCAAACCGTAATCTGTTAGTAAACACTAATCAGCAGTGATTAGAAGCAAATTATCCAAAAGACCAAAGGAAAGACCTAAAAGAACTAAAAATTCAAGACAATAGTTTAGGAGGAGAGCTTGACTTAAGTGATTTTACCAGCCTAGAAAAACTACTTTGTTATGGCAATAATAATATTACTAAGTTAATATTGCCCCCCCCAAAATAATTTAGAATGAATAGATGCTGGTTATAATTCACTTACTGACCTAGATTTTCTTAATAATCTTGACCCTAATAAGTTAAAAGGATTAAAAATTCACCAAAATAATATTCAAGAACAAGATTTGTCTTGCTTTTCGCGGTTTACTAATCTAACTGATTTGGCCATTGGCAACTGCTACAATTATGGCGGAGTGGAAGCCATTGATAAAGGAAATTATAACAATTTTTTTGGCTCACTGCAACCTCTCCAGAACTTAAGTAGACTAGAAAATCTTGCCATTTGGAATAGCAACATCGATTCCGGATTAGAACATTTGCCAGAAAACTTAAAAACAATTCATTGTTCTAATGAAGGACCAGCTAATTGAAAATGCAAGAATTTGCTAGACCAGTTAGAGAAAAACAATATGAACAATATTGAGAAAGATTCATATGACTACCAATCTTGATTAACTCAAACTAAAGCCTCAATTGTCACTGGACAAAATTAGTAGGATAAATGGAAAGCAAAGAGGAGGAGAAATACTCCTCCTCTTGGGTAAAACTCCTTATAGCATTTAATAAACAAAACCTTTAAAAATAAAAAAATTACTGTGGAATAGAAGATAGCAGGGAAATTAGTTTGCCAACTGACTTAATTATTAGATGATTGAAGCAAAAAAGATAACTGTCTCCTAGCATTTTCTTGATTATTAGTTTCACTCTTGACTTTCTGATAGACATTGTCTCAATAATTATTTCATTACTTGTCCTTCACTCAAACTAAGCGATCTTTTCCAAGCACCCAACTGGTTCAATCATTAAATTTTTTCTACATTCTGAGCGGTGCCTCTATTCCTATTAATCCAAGCCCTAATTTTAAAATTATTTGAATATTCTTAACCAACAGAAGTTTTTGGGCAGTTAATTCTGGGTTCTCCTGTTCCAAAATAATGTTATTTTGGTAATATACTTGCCAGACTCGGGCTAATTCATACAAATAATTGATTAAACAATGAGGTTTATTTTCTTCCATGATATTTTCCAAAATAAAAGGAAATTGCACCAACAATTTAAATACGTCTCGTTCGTTTTTTTCTTTTAATAAGTCAATATTTGAACTAATTTTTGCTATTTCTTTTTCTTGAGCTTTGTGGAAGATTTGATGACAACGAGCATGGGCGTATTGAATATAATAGAGACGAGTTTTTTCTTTGTTCTCTTTCAATAATTCAGTATTGATAGAAATAGGTTGATTGGGGTCTTTTTCCAGTAAAAAAAACTTTAATTGATCCATATCCATATACTTCAAGGTCTCTTCTAATTCAATAGTATTACCGGACCTTTTGGAAAACCTTGCCGTACCTCCTTCCTTGGTAAGCAAATTAACTATTTGGACTAAAATTATTTGAATTTCCTCTCGCTTATGACCTAATAATTGGCAAGCGCTTTTTATTCTTTCTACATACCCGTGATGGTCAGCTCCCAAAATATTAATTAGTTTGTCGGCTCTTTGCAATTTATCTTGATGGTAAAGAATATCAGAAAAAAAGTAAGTGTAATCGCCATCTTGTTTAATAATTACTCGGTCTTTATCATCACCGCCCAAACTACTGCGGAAAAATGTTGCTCCTTCTTGCAAATAAGTTAACTCTTTTTCTTTTAATTCAGTTAGCAATTTCCGATGTTTATTTTTATCATACAGACTGCTTTCAGAAAATCAAATATCAAAATTTATTCCACACTTGGCTAAGTCTTGACGAATTTTATGAAGAACTAAACTCAAAATCTCTCTTTTTCAAAGGTCAAATTCTTCCTCATTTAGTTCTTTATTGATATATTTATCACCTCATTTCTTTATTAAGATTTTGGCTACTTCTTGACTAGATTGGCCTGAATACTCTATTTTTTCTGAGTTAGCGTGGGGAGAAATTCCTTGCAAAGTATGGTAAAAGTGATAAACGGAATTAATTAAAGAAATAATTTGACCTCCACGATCATTAATATAATATTCACGAGTTATTTGATAACCAGAAAATTGATAGACATTAGCCAGAGCACTACCAATCACCGCATGACGAAAATGGGCTAAATGGAGATAACCGGTTGGATTGGTGGAAACATACTCTATATTTAGGTGAATATTTTTTTTTTCTCCTTGGAGATTTTGCCCTTCTCGGGCTAATGTTTCAGTAAGAAATTTTTGGTAATAATTAGTAGGAAAACAGAAATTGATATAACCTTGCTTGGTGATATTCAATTCTAAGTTGGACCAATCAGTTAATTTTATTATTTCCTGGGCTATCTCTTGGGGATTTTTTTTAGTTTTGTGGGCAATCGGCAAAGCCAAAGTCAGGGCAAAGTCGGCGGAGATATTAGGCGGCAATTCCCATTGCAGAAAAGAATTTTTTCAAGGAATATTATATTGAGTAGCAAAATTTTTTCAAATAAGCAATAAACTGTTAAAATCTAATTTTTCTCCCATCTTATAAAAAAAATTTTATAGTTTGCTTGCTGATATCCGCAACTTTTCTCTTGCTTTTTGAATTATTTAAGTCGCTGTTTTTCAATTTTTAATATAACTTAACTTTTTTATTGCTAAATTATTTTTACTGTTCCTTGCCCATCAGCGAGTAATTCGTAAATATTCGGAACTTTTCCAGCCGAAGAGCAATCAAAACGTTCAATGCTTTCCGGTAAATATTCTAGACCACTGTCAATATTAGTGCCACTGATGTCAAGTAAATCTAATTTGGTCAGATTCTTTAGGGGTTCTAGAGAACCAAAAAAACGATTTGTACATAAATCCAATAACTCTAAATTAACTAAATGACTCAAAAAACTTAAATCTCGAGAGAAGTTATTTTTGTGAATGACTAATATCTTTAACTGAATATTTTGACTTAAATCCAAACTAGTTAAAAGATTTCCGCCACAATTAAATTCTTCTAAATTCACAGAATCGCTCAAGTCTAAATTACCTTCCAAGCCTTTACTTATAATATTTAATTTTTTGATTTCTTTCCTATTTTCTTTTGGATATTCTTTATATAATCATTCTTGTGCTTTTACCACATGTTTTTAAATTTATTTGTGTTATTTTGTTAAAAATCCCAATCACTAAAAAAGCCTTTAAGATGATATCATTAGGTGTGGTTTTAATTTGTTATTTCTATTCTGACTATAGGCAAATAATATATAAAACCTTTAATTCCTTGCTAATAGGAATATTTAATCTATACCTATTTTTATAACATTTTTTTCAAACCAAAGAACTAATTTTAATTTCCTCAACAATTTTTTCATAACAAATAATCCTCACCTAATGGTAAAAATGTTAAAAGAAAATTAAATAATTTACCTCGCAACGTTAAATAACATTAAATATTATATTATGACAGTAATTAATATTAAACAAACATTTAGTATAACCTTACCAGTTCCTCTTTATGAACAATTGTTGCAAGAGGTCGGCAAAGGTAAAATTAGCCAATTTATTAAAAAAGCAGTAGAAAAAGAACTCAAAAAAACTGACAAGCAGAGTTTAAAAGTCGCTTACCAAGCCTTGGAAAACTGCCTAGAATACCAATCCGAAGCAGAAGAGTGAGAAGCAACTAATTTAGAAGATGTTGAAAGTTAGTTCTCCCACAATGACCCAGCGACTTAGAAGGGGAGAAATTTACTGAGTAGAGCTAGATCCAGTTAAGGGCAGTGAAATTAAGAAAACTCGTCCTTGTTTAATAATTAGTAATGATGAACAGAATGAGGTCAGCCGCCGAGTAATGGTAATTCCGCTTACCAGTAGTAAAAAACTACCGTCTGTTCCTTTTCACATTAGTCTCCTTTTCCAAGGCAAGTTAGCCAAAATTTTACCAGAGCAAATGCGAGTAGCCGATAAATCACGAATTAAGAGAAAATGTCTCGGAAAAGTTAGTTGGGAGGTTTTAAATAAGGTGGAAGAAGCTTTGCATATTGTTTTGGATTTAAAAAATTAGTAAAGTTCAAAATAAAAAAAGATGATATTGATTATTATGGACTGTTGCAAACTTCAAATTCTTACTAATCATCCCGTTTTTTCTCCTTTTTCTTTTTTATCAACCAACTGAGGGTAGTTTTTTAGCCAACTTATTAGATAAACTAAAATCCTGCTCGGCACTTCAGATGGAGACTCTAAAATGGCTGTCAACAATAATAGCATTATTTAATCAACTTCCTTTCTATCAGAAAAAAGGTTATTGTTATATTTTCTCTCTCTAATTTTTATAGCTTCCCGTTCGACTATTAATTGATTAATTATTTCTTGACTCTTTCCGCTACGCTTGGCTCTCAACATTCTCATAGAAAGACGGGCGTATTCTTTGACTTTGTTTAACTTGTTTGTTATATTTTTCATAACGTTATATGTTATATTATTAATTTTCAGTTATAACTTTCTAGAATATAACATTTTGCTTTTAACTTATTATAACAAAAACAGATATAACGAGTTTATACCACATATTAAAAAAAGAGAAAATGAGTAGGATGAGTAGGCGCTTTTTTTACTTTTTTATAAACTTTAACTAGTAGAGATAGGGAGCAAATTAACCAAGAATTTTATAGAAGTAACTAATAATTTCCCCTCCCTTGGCCTTGTTATACTTAATCAATAAACAATAAAATAAGTGCTTCGGCTATGTTTATATCATGCTCCAAACTAAGATAATTACTTAATAAACCATTTAATCGCCTTTCTACTGCCTTTTTGATTATTTTGATCGTATCATCTTTTTTCATATCAGGAACCAACTTATTACTTCATCAACCTTTTATTTTGGTTTCTAATTTCGGAATATTCAACACCGAACTGATAGCTAGTGGCTCAATTTTTACTTCTTTTAATTGTAATTTGTTATCTTTTCATTCAGCGGTCAGGAGAACAATTAATAATCCACTCTGACCTAAATTACTCCTCTGCTCGACTAATAACTCATCCAGACTTATTAAAGTTTTTTTTACTTTTCTTAGTGAGGAAATCTTATGGGTTGGAAATTCGAGAGCATGACCATTATCAAGATTTAGAAACTTGCCGGGCAAATGCGGCAGAAAATTCTTGTTCTTATAACTATTTTGCAGAGTAATTATTCCAGTTGGTTCTAATAATTGTAACAATAACTTGAAATCATAAAAACTAACCCCCAGACTCAAATACTCTTTTTTACTTAAATTAATTATTGTTTCACCTTGGGTATAAAGAAAATCAATTATCCGGGCTAATTTGCTCTCGCCACCTATTACCGGGGGAATGCCAACTATAAACTGAAAAATAGATTTTTTTTCGGGCGAAAAATCGGCTAAGCAATCAGTTAATTTTCTTTCGATATTTTCGGGATTACCGACTAGCAAGTAAATTTCTCCATCTGGCTTGCTTTTGGTTGAGGAAGGAAAATTCTTATTTGGAACCTGTTCTTTTTCAATTACTTGCTTCAGTGAACTCCTAGCTAATACTTGGTTAATTAATGAAGCAAACTCCTTATTTAAAATTTTCACCTTCTTGCCTCAACTGCGGGCTAATTCTAATAACTCAAAAATATGCAACCAGTCAAAATCATAGAAAAGGAAAAAAAGCGGTTTATCGCGACTGGGAAAGTTGTTAGTAGCAAAAAATAGCGAGTTTTTGTTTTGTCAATGCAGTCCCCAATAACTAGTAATTAAATAAGTATTTTTTCTTTTCTGCGAGCAAAATTGTTGAAAATCAGGTAAGAAATTAGCCGGAAAAAGTATTTTATTATCCAATATATTACCAAAAGCAAATCCTTCCAAAAAATAGAAACTATATTGTAAATAATGAACTGAAAAAGCTAAATTACCTAACAAGTAACTATTGAGTGGAGCAAAAGATAAAACAAAATCGCCAATTTTCCAGTCCTTGTTTTTTTCAACAACTACTGTTTTATTTCTTAATTGAGCAAAAAGATAAGGAAAAACTAGTCTACTGTGGTAACTAGTGTAAATGGGGATTTGAGGACCAAGTTCGCGACAAATATCCGCCAATAAACCAATGTTTTGTCAACTAGTATTAGCCACAATAATTCCCCCAACCTTAGTTTTATTTTCTTTGAGATAATCGTGACCAATTTGTTGTTCTTGAGCGCCCGCTATTGAATAATCTTTGCCAGTCGCTAGAATAAGAATATTTTTTTCGGTTTCCAGCAGATAAAAATTACCTTCGTTTTCTCAATTACCACGCAGGAGTAAAAAGCGTATTGACATTTTATTTTATAGTAATTATTTGTATTTGATATTTTTTTTGACCAATTTGGATTTCAACTATCTGGCCAACTTTTTTGTTTCAGAGGGCTAAGCCCAAGGGACTGGTGAAAGAAACACAATCCTGATTAGGATCAGCTTCTCATTCATTAGTTAGTCGAATAGTTTTTTGTTCGCCAGTTGCCAATAAACGATAGGTGAAAATTTGGTCGGGACGACTGTTTTTTTCCACTTCCTTTATTTTTTCCTTCAAAAGGATAATTTGCTGGTATAAATTTTCAGCTTTTTCTTGCAAAAGATGTCAATCGTGATTTTCTGAAAAATCTCCATCTAAACCATACATCTTCAACTTTTCTTTAGTGGAAGAATAATCACTCTCCAATTTTCTTAACTTTTCCCGAAGGATAATAAATCCTTCTTTATTCTTCTTTTCCATAAGAATTTCTTTTTGCTATTTAAATTAATACTAGAATTTGAATTAAATAAAGTTAATTGGTAGTGGAATAAATTTTGATATCAGTAATCTCGCGCTTCTCATCTTTCAATATTCGCCGACTTTTACCACCACTTTCTAAGAAAGAAATTAAATCTTTTTTATTGTATCAACAGACATCTTCATTGGCTAACAAATATATTTCAGGATTGCTTTCTTTATTAACTAAGCAGACTTGGCGAAGTGGATTTTCCAAACGAGCTCGATATTTCTTTTTCTCTTGCTCTTGGCACTTGGAACAAGCCTTCCTTTCGGCTTTTAATTTATTCAAGGTCGGACATTTGACCCGGTTAGCAAAAGCTTCGTGGCGCAGTTTTTCACTTTGTTCTTTTTTCTTGGTTAACTCACTAGTTAATTTTTCAATTTCTTTAGTTGCCCCCGGTTTAGATTTTTTCAATGTTTCCAATTTTTCCTTAGTTTCTTCTACTTTCTCTTTCAACTGCTGAATATGCTTATCATTTTTGTGGCAATAATTACATGTTTCATGCTTAACCATTTCCTCTTGGGATTTTTTCTCATGATTAGAACAATACCTTTGGCAATCCTTACATTGTTTACTTTTTTCTTTGAAATCATTTATTTTATCTTGCTGTTTTTTGTATTCTTCGAGTAATTTTTGATAAGTCGTTCCTTTTTGTTTTAGGTCTTTGGTTTGGTCTTTGATAGCCACTTCACCAATGGTTGAGTCAACAGGAGAGTTGGCAATCTTGCGCGTCATTTCTTTAGTATTTAGACCAGTGATTATTTTGATATCTTTCAGGATTTTTTCCTTGATTTCTAATGGCAAAGTAGATTTTAATACTCTTTCTTCCATTATCTCCTTTTCTTCCCGCGTTTCTTTCTCCACCTTTTCTTTAACTTTTTCCAATTTTTCTAAATCGATTCAGTGTTTTTTACAGTAAGCAGTTTTTTTTAATTTACCATCGGTACTAATTCAAGTTTTGGCAGCAAACAATTCTTTTTTCTCACAGGTATTATCTTTTTTAATTAAGAATAGTAGCAGATTTTCTTTGTTTTCTCCTTCTTTAATTATTAATAAGTCAACCACTTGCTCGCATTTTACTTGTTTTCTAATTTGCTTAGTAAATAGTTCGGGCTTTTGACAATTACCACACTCTTTGATTTGTTTTTGGAGTTCTCTTGCTTTGGCACAAGTTATTCCACAGGGGTGGCTGGCTTTGTGGGTTCTTAATTTGCTCTGATGAAGGGAACAAAAAATTGACTTTCCTTCTTCATCTTTTCTTCTTACTTGCCGATAAACCGGAACTTTTAAGTTTTTTATTTGACCATCTTTGCCTTTTCTTTTGAGAATAATTTCTATTTCCTCATTGCCTTGCAGCAAGGCGCTTTTGACAATTTCATCACCACTGCCGGTTCATTTTTCTTGACAATTACCACACTCTTTGATTTGTTTTTGGAGTTCTCTTAATTCTTGGCAACCAATACCACAAACATGAGCAGTAGCCTTATGTTCAGCTAATTGAGCTTGGTGAAGAGAACACTTTTCAATAGTCTTTTGATAAAGATTAACTAATTTCTTACCTGATTTGTTGATTTTTTCTAGTTTTTCTCGACCAATCAGTTTAATTTTTCCTTTTTGGGTAATAATAAGTAGAAATTTCTGGCTAAATTCCTCAGGAACTGGTAAAGCCGCCGTAAAGAATTCTTGGGCTTGCAGAGTTGGTTTTAACTCTCCTTTTCTAACTCGGGTGAAATATTCCTCATTTAAATTAGTAGTCTTATTCAATGCCACAAATTTATAGAAAGTAAGGCTATATAATTTACCATAACTAGAAAAACATCATAAATCATCGCGGCGATCCAGTTTAATAAAAGCTCAATTATCACCCCGAGTTTTTAATTCTTTGCCTTGACTAGGAATATTAGTTGGTTCCACTGCCGAAAGATGATGAACTGTTAAATAATTATTGATTTTATTCTCTTTTTTATTTTCAGAGCGACTTAATAAAACAATTCTTTCTTCATGAGGGATTAATTGTCGTTCTTCAATTGAGTGTTGAATACCAGTAACTGTTGTTTTTCTCTTGTCGTGAGCGTAATCATTTTTTAATTCTTGTAATTCTTGAACTAATTTTTCTTTTCTTTTTCCTAAATCAGCAATGGTTAATTGTTGCTCGGAATTATCTTGTTGTAGTTTGGCAATATCATTTTGTAATTTTTCTCTTCGTTCCGGAGTAAATTGACGAAAACTAGCTGGTGTATCTAAAATTCGGTTAATAGCTTCCTGCTCCAAATCACTATTTTTTTCCGGTGAATCAGGTGAATCCAATGATTTGTCCTGGATTGTCCGCAATTGCTCTTGTAAGCTTTTCAGCTCTTCATTGAAACGAGCCCTTAATTTTTGTTCTCGTTCTTCATCGGAAGCAGCACTGCGAGCAATTTCGGCAATTTCTTGATAATTATCGATAATGAAACGACGAGTTTCTAAATTAATCAACTCCTTCTGATTCTTATTATAAATGAATTGGGCTTTTTTTTGAATGTTTTCTAATCGTTGATCAATGAATCCTTCTAGAACTTCTTTCAATGAAAAAACTTTCGGTTGGTCATCAATCAAGGCTCGCATTTTTACCGAAAAGGAACTTTGTAATTTAGTGGATTTATATAATTGATTAAGAATAACTTCGCCATCATAATTGGGGTCAAACTTTAAGTGAATGTTAACTGGCTCTTCTCAACTAGAATAATCAGCCACATTCCGCAAGCCATCAATTTTTTTGTCCTTAATTATCCGACTAATATGCTCGACCAATTTAGCTTTATTAACTTTATAAGGTAATTCAGTAACATGAATTAAATCTTTTTTTGGTTTAGTTAAACCATCTAATTTCGTTTCTTTTTCCAGTTTACTGGAAGTAATTTCCGCTTTGGCCCGAATATAAATAGTTCCTTCGCCTTTCTCGTAGATACTGTGTAATTTTTCTTGTTCTAGGATTTGTCCACCAGTGGGAAAATCAGGAGCCGGCAGATAAGTAATTAATTGTTCTAAACTAATTTCTGGTTCTCGGATGAGGTTAATAGTAGCCTCAACTACTTCTCCTAAGTTATGAGGTGGAATATTAGTACTCATTCCGACCGCAATACCACTGGAACCATTCAATAATAAGTTCAGACTGGCCGGTAAAATTTTTGGTTCTTGTTCGTTTTCATCATAGTTATCAATCCATTCCACTGTTTCAAAAGCCAAATCTTCCAGCAGATACAAACCAAATTTAGTTAAGCGGGCTTCGGTATAACGCATCGCCGCGGCCGGGTCACCATCCATTGAACCTCAATTACCTTGTCCATCAATCAGTGGATAACGGTAATGGAAATCTTGAGCCATTTTCACCATAGCTTGGTAAACACTTTGGTCACCATGTGGGTGATACTTACCAATTACATCTCCGACTACCTTAGCCGCTTTACGATGGGCTTTGTTGGGAAAAAGTCCTAACTCATAAAGAGTATAAAGTATTCTTCGTTGTACTGGTTTTAAGCCGTCATATAATTGTGGTAAAGCTCGGTCTTCGACTACGGCATAAGCATATTCCAGGAATTTTACTAATAAAGCTTGGCCGACATCCACTTTATTATCAACCACTGTTAATTGAGCATTTTTATGTTCACCACTCTCTAAACGTCTTTTTCGTGGTTCACTTTTGGGACCCATTAAGTCTTCAATGATGTCACGAATGCTGGGTGGATTAGGAAGTAATAATTCATGAAGGCAACGCTTCTTGACCGCCATCGTAGTTTCCCGTAATTGTTGGGGATTCATTTCACCCAATCCTTTAAAACGTTGTAAACGACCAACAGTTCCTTTAATTTGTTGTTGATAGTCTTCTAATTCCTGATCTGTGTAAAAGTACTTAGTTTCTTTTTTTGTTTGTAAACGATAAAGGGGAGTTACTGCTAGATAGAGACGATGTTCCTCAATTAAGTAGCGAAAATAGCGAACAAAGAAAG